ATTTTCAAATGTAATCTATTTAGGGTGTTCAACTCAATGGATCGATCGATTATATTCAAAATTGAAAATCGAATCTTCGAGTCGAATCTTGAGAAACGAAAACCGCGATTAAATCGATTCTCAAATCGATTCTAAGTATCAAAATCTATTCCATGGTTTATCTAGAATACTCGATAGAGATATACAAAATGACATGAGACATGTTAAATAGTGAAAATCTTTGACTAAAAACCTTTCACATGAAAGTTTATATCATAACTGTTTACATGCACATTTTTATTAAGAAAATCACGTGTCCATGAAGGGCCAGAAGTGACATCATTCTAATATTTGAAATTTACAAAGGATAAAATTTATATGATGCGGGATTAAATTCGGTTTAAACCGATTCTTTACCGTTACTAATCCGGGTCACCCGATTTGGATATTGATAAAAAAGTAAATGATCATTAACTTACTGACATCATACAATTATAAATATCGAAATAAAAATAAAAAAATGAAAGCGCTTTTTAAACCGGATTGATAAATCCGGTTCCCAAACTTTAATATTAACTCGTCTTCTAATTAAAATTGTGAGAACATCAATTATTGAATTCAAACAGTAACTTGCTTAGAGAAAAACATTTTGTTTATAAAATTTTCGTCACATTTCCTTGTTATTATAATTATAATCTTTCTGTGATGCAGTGTGCATCTTAATTCACATTAAGGGATTTAATATTTTTTTTTTTATTTGCTAATGATTAATGTCATTCATTTTTAATTCAATGTGTCCAATCTTTTGGACATTACAATATTGATTTAAACTACAATGCTAAAATCGGTTCATTATCTCGTTTTTAATAAACTCTCTTTAAAGACTAACCTTTTTTTTTAAAAGAAAAAAAGGAAATTTTTTGAAAGGGAGGGGAAAAAAGAGATAAAATTTTTTTTTTTTAAAAAAAAAAAAGGAAATTTTTGAAAGGAAAAAAGAGATTTAAAGAACAAATTTTAGCCAAGAATCTTGGCGTAAAATTTCTACGGGTAATCAAATTTATTGAAGTTAGTTTTGGATGAAAATGGAAAAGGTCTTATTTTTTTTTTTATTAAAAAAAAATTTGTATATATATAATAAAACGTATCTTTCTCTCGTATTTAATATTTCAATATTTCCCCAAGAACAAATTTAAAAATTCACATAAAGTTAGTGTAATAATATATTTATTAATATATTTACAATCAAGTATGATGAGACATCAACAATTTGCCATCAGGCCAATATTTCCATACGCTGATGTATTGGAAGATGACAAAGAAGTCGCCGATGTTACTCTCGATGATGTCTTAAAGGTGGACTGGAATTGGCCATGCTTTGATGAATGGTACGATTCACGAACTGGAAAGAAATCACGAAAGGAAAAGAATGAAAGCATCCAGAAAAGCAAATTCGTGCCCTTTAAGGTTGTTTACTTGCAGAACTCCAAGGATTTTTACACAACATTTGTTGAGTTGAGTTCCCATTCATTGATCAAGATCTTAAGAAGTGTCCTTCTTGACGACAAAGAAATTCTCAATGATGCGCCCAGGATCGAAGCACGTGATTTGTATCACGTTTTGGAAAAGTTACACGAAGTCATGTCAAGTTATACCTCTATCTGAAACTGTAACGGAAGATGGTGGTATGTGGGTCCGTCCTGTTAATAATTTTCCTAACCACGTTAAATGAATCAAGGATAAACTAATTTTATGGAATTTAATCCTTATAAAAGCGTCTGACCTGGAGGTTGAAAGGATCCATTTGAATCACTTGATTCGATTCCTTGAACAGGAATACAATCAGACGACCAAAACTCGTAAAAGAATGCTTGAACAACGAGTAATTTCATATGACATGTTATGGGTATTTTATACTCCGAATTTGGACGTATGATAGTAAGTAATTATGTTTTTTATTGATCACCGTGTCTATTTTTTTTCCATTAATTACTTTCAGATTAAGCTTAACTGCCTTGCATTCGAAAACCATTGTTCATAGTCGATGTGATATGTCTGGTCAGCAAATCGGTGGTATCATTTCCTCGACAGACGAACGTGTTGAATTTGTTAACAATGAATATAAAAGGGTGTTTAATATAAAAATTAAGGTCATCGACTGTGACGGTAAAGGATTTAAGCGTTGCTTTGTAACGCGCAAGATCGAATGCTTCAAGGGTGAAGTTGGCTTCTCTGATTTACCCGTCGTTCCATTCAAATTTTCTAAAACAAACGCATTCCTCGAGAACGCTATTATTGAAAATGGAAAACGATTTTTCGACCTAGCCTTAGGAAGCATCTTTATGAATTATGAGGGTCCGTTATTGCGCTAGCGAAGGGTTAACAAATGCATGCAGTTGGAGAAGATTAGAGCCAATGGTCGTGTCATGATTGATCTCGAAAGTTTTCAATAATGAATCCTAACTATCAAATGGGAAATGCTCTACCACCAAACAAATGTGACATTGAGTTACTCGGAGAAAAAGGTGTCTATCTCAATGAGGGTGAAATTCATCAGAAAGCTAATTACCAACTCGCACCTGCGTTAGTGTACGGGTTCAGCTTTGCGTTAAAGGAATGGGGTCAATTCGAGGTTTTGAAATTTTCGGAGATTAGTTTTGACAAGGAGGCGTTCAGTCAACTGGTGATGTCCGATGATAGAAAAGAAATCCTTGAGGGGTTAGTGAGACAGTATTACGTACCCACAGAGTTGTCCAATGGAGGTGTAGTGACTTCATACACAAAACCTCTCGATTCCATCACCAATAAAGGCAATGGCTGTATCTTTCTATGCTATGGGCCACCTGGAACTGGGAAAACATTAACGGCTGAAAGTGTAGCCGAATTTCTCAAAAGGCCATTATGGATGCTCAGCGTACACGAACTTGGGATGGAACCTGCCGAGTATGTACATATTTTGTTATAAAAACATACTGAATTATAAGTTTTCATGGTACTGATTCATTCGTCATCGCTACATATTCCTTGTACACAGACTGGATCAGCAATTGGTCAAACTTCTAGATATATCATATACGTGGAAGGCAGTCCTCCTACTTGATGAAGCTGATATTTACCTTGAAAAACGTAACACAACTGATATAAAACGTAACGCGATGGTTGGTGTATTTTTACGTCGATTGGAATATTATCGAGGTTAGAAAGCTTCGCGTTTGTCATTCCTTTCATTATATTAGAGAAATTAAGTCACTTTATTTTTCGTTACCCAGGCGTCATGTCATTTGATGATGCGTTCTGCTCACGAATTAATATGTTCTTCCATTACCCAAATTCAATTCGGAAGAAAGACGCAATATATGGACAAATTTCATCAGGAAAGGCAACCTCCCCCTTTGTGCAGATGATTTTACTGAATATGATTTGAACGGTCGTGAAATCCGCAATGTCCTTCAAACCGCGCAAGCGTTGGCCAAGAGTCAAGGACAAAACTTTACCGTAGGCCATGTTATCAAAGTCATCAAGACTGTCCAGGGATTCCAAAAAGAAATGGATGAAATCAGAAGAATAGAAATGGCGAATTAGTCGTTGCAATTCCACCACATATGATATATGCGCTGTTATTTTTATCTTAACTAAAAAATTTATATATTTCATTTTGTCATTATTCACCATATTAGGGAAGTCTTAACCACAAATATTTTTATATTGTCTTTCGCTTTGCGTCGACGGTTCATAATTCGAAAGCATTAAACAATTCCTAAAATTGAATGAAAACTTCTCGCAACGAAAGCGTGTGATAAAATACGTTATGCAATTCAAAAATGTTGATTCTCAAAGGTAATTTAACTTAACCCACCTTTAATAATAAAAGCTCCATACGAGTGTAAATCAACGAAAATCCAAAAGCATTGTACTTATCCAAGATTATCAAATTCCTCTTTAAACGTATCAACTATTCGTTTTACAAATAACATTTTACTAACTAAATTTGATCCAAGACGTGTTCGTCTGCATCATCACTGAAAAGCCTTTCTGGTATTGGCACATATTTTCGTGCTAAAGCCGATAAGACTTAAATTTTTATTTTCTTTCATTCCACCATTCCTAAGGATTAATATCTGGATGGCTTGTGGTGTTTTCTGTATATCTAAATATATGCTTAATTCATCAATTTGTTCTAAAAAGTTGGAGGTTGTGGAAATACATAAAAAAATAATGGATTGTTTGTTATAATTGTTGATTCGTTATAAAAAAAAAAAATCCAAGACTTTTTTTTTAGGAGAAAACCTTTTGTTCCAAAGGGTGTGTTTCTGTTTATTAGCCGCTGGAAAATGATGCGAAGGTAAAACCATCCAATTTGAAGGACCTACAGATAATGATAGTACACCTTTATTTTAAAAATTTTATAATAAAATGAAAATAATTAAAAGTAGTGATAAAGAAGCGGTGTTAAAGGAGATACCTGTAATTTATTCGCTAAATTTCGAAGTTAGATTATTTTCGTCATTCAAGTTAAGGACATAAACTGTTTGAAAATCAAATATTCAAATTTATTTTTTTTTATTTTACTTTATTTTATCCTTTTTCTGCTTCCGAAAAACTCTAACCTTACTCGAAGAAAGAATTCGTTTCTAAAAAAAAAAAAAAAAGAAAAGCTTGAACCTTTTTTAAAAAATTCATTGACGTTATAGGTTTCGATTCGGCGATATCTAAACAATACCTTTTTTTTAAGTTATTGAAAACAGTTAGCATTGCTTTTAAACTTTTAAATTTAAGGTTATCATTTATCATTATAAAAATCAACGATAATCAAACTATACTTATTTTTAATTTTGCAATATAATAAAAAAAGAAAATTAGAATTAATAATTAATTAAAAAAAAAAAAATTTTTCAATTATAAACAATTTGTTTAATTATATAGTCTTTATTGAGGTGAGGTAATTATTATGCCTATCCAACTCATGAACTGAAGAATTCAATCAGCGCTTTTCGAAAACGACAAGATCCTAAATCTCCAAAAGAGCATGAACCACCAAAAAGAACCCGAGACAAAAAAAACCCTAATGTATTAAAAATGATGTCTAAATAAAATGAAAAAAAAAAAAAAACGAAAGTTTAAAAAAATAAAATAAAAAAATCAACTAAAAAAAGAATTAAAAAAAGAATGAACTAAAAAAAAAAGAACGAACTAAAAAAAATAAAAATAAAAACAACGAAATAAAGAAAAAAAATAAAAATAAAAGAAACAAAAATTAAAAGAAATGAACAAAAACGAACAAAAGAATAAAAAAGAAGAGAAAAGAATAAAAACGAAAAAAAAAGATAAAAAAAAGAAATAATTTCGCCAAATATATTTTGTTTTTTTCCCACTTATATAATATTCACACCCAACCCGCTATTAATTCTAAAT